TTTCTGATGGAATTTTCTCCACATAAATTGATTAATTAATTATTATCAAGGTTATAATATTTTAGTAAATGAGCAGGAATGAGCATATTAATTTTCAGCATTTTTTATAATTTTATATTCTGCAATAGCGGAACGTTTTAAAGATAATGGCTCACATAGATTCGTCTTGAATTGAGTTCAAGCTTGCGCCAATTTTTTATGCCGACCCAATTTTCAATGATAATTGCTAACGTTAACGTGTAAGTAATAAGCCATTTTTCATTTTGTTACCCAAACAAACGGGCTGGTTGACCTCTTTTAATTTTCGTTTTATCATTTTTGTCGTACGATGTTTTATTTATGTCTCGTGAATTAATCACCTGATTTTTGGTAATCTTATTTTGATAAGTAATCTTTATCATTTCGCCGACTATTATGATGATTATTATCATTACTTTCGATAATTTTGTAAGTTTTTTTGAGACGCTTTTTCAAAAATTTTCAATTTTTTTACAGTAGTTTACAATATTTATGATGAATATAAAATATTTATTAAGAAAAAGAAAACAAAAATAGAGATAACTCGACGTAATTTAAAACTATTATGCTTAGACAAGCTTTCTTCTCATACGCTCATTTTTAATTTTTTTTTTTTTTTTTTTTTTATTTATTGACATTAATCTTTTTATTTATAAACACTAAAAGAAAAAATTATTTTTGAAAAAAATTAGCAATTTTCAACAAAAATTGATTTCTTGTCACAACAATGACTAAAATATTTCGAATCGAAGTTAGTACCTAATTTGTAAATTATATAAATTAATTGATGACACCTAATCAACTGACTTATCAATTCATTAAAAACATCGGAGACTTGCAATCGTCAGCATGACATAAAAGTAAATATTATTCAAAGTTATCAATGAAAAATATACTTATCTAACTCGTTATTATTCGACAAATAAGCTATCTGATATCTTATGTTATCTCTTCTTTTCTATTTATAGTATTTAATCCGACTATTTTCTTCCTCTTATGCCGCAGGTGAAAGAAAAATATAAAATAATGAATATTTTCAAGTTATTTATCGCGAGAATTAAACTTATCTTGAAAAGATAGATCTTCTATTGTACTGAAGTCTGAGTAGAGTAATTAGTGCAATTGTTGCAGTGATTAATGAGTTATTTAATTTATAAATATTTACTTACTCTGCACTTGAGCACTGGATTATTTTGATTAATACTTTTTTCTTCTTTCTTTGTGAATAAAAAAAAATTGTGTGATTGTTTTTTATAAAAATATTTAAACACGCTGGAAGAAAATGTTTATAAACATTTCAATTTATTATTATTGCTGGTTACAATAATTGACGTATGAGTTTGACGATTATTCTATTTACTTTAAACAAATAAATTGACAAAGAGATTTTCAAAATTGCGCGTAAAATTTTGGATTTATGTTTACAACAATTTATTTCTTTATCAGAAAAAATATTGTCGGGTGTCTCTTACCTTCTGTATGATTATTAATCAATTATTTATTATCTTAAAATTGAAAATAGTACTTAGAAGCTTGAATATTAGGCGCGAACTGCTGCAATTGTGATAAGAAATTTCCTTTTCTCAAAATCTTTTTATTTTTCCGCGATTTAACTATTAAAATCAACAGGGTTGTACTTAGTAGCGTGCTCTATGATGGAGTGAAAAAAATCTTTGAAAAACTCTGAAGCGATGAAAAAATAACTTTGTTTCTCTGAAAACCGTAAAAATGGCGGCTCAGTGGCCTAAATTCCAACACTACCGAGCTATAATTGAAACGCGAGTTTCATAAACTATCTTTAATTAATAAAACTCTGATTTGTTTCATCAATAATCGTTATTTGACTTGACAAACGCAGAATTTTAATTATTTTAACGTTTTTTTGAGTTATAAACCGTGATACCACATATTTAGTGTGGTTATAACTTCACCGGCGTTGAGAATTATAAAATAGTATCTCGCTTGACTTGTAGATGTCAGTTTCGCCGAGCAACTCGCTAAGTGCCGTCACACGTGTTACTATACCGGCAGATTTAAGTGTTACAGTAAAGACCTTTAGATGACAGCGTGGTAAAAAATACATTTTGAACAAATTTTATCGTGAAATTTATTATATTCTGTTACACTAAATTAAACATTATTCTTAACAAATGCGTCAAGGTATTTATAAAAATATAATTTTTCAATATTAATAGTTAGTATTAACAAATTTTAACAGTACTCTAAAAAAGAAAGTGTATAATTATACGCAAGCATTATTTTATAATAATGTATTTTTGTTTGTATATATAATATAAAAACTTGTGTATAGTTTTTACAGTTATACACAACTCTTTACAATTATTAGTATAATGTAAAGGGCCTTAATCGCAAAACAATAACAATTGGGCCGTTCGGTTCCGTACGGTAAAAATCGGATGTTTCCGTTGCGCGTCCCACCGCCATGTTTGTTTCCACTTAGTGTAATTAGATGCTTAATATTTTTCTAGGTATTAGAATAAAAATAAAAATTTTTCAAACAAATCAAATCAATAAATTAATAACTAAAAACTTCTTTAAATTATTAGAAAAAAAAAAATTTATAATCAATTTCAATGGAAAAAAGCTGGATCATCATCCGTGTCAAATTTTGTCATAAAAATCATTCAGTATATACAACACGTGTCCAGTCAATTAAGTTTTATCTATTTACAATTGCACAATACATAATAAGCAAGCGTACCGACATACAGGAAAAACGTGAGGTTGCTATTCAAATTCACGCTACTTCATTTTTTAATTATTCATTGAGTTAGTCACTTGAAATAATTAATACATTCATTTTTAATAATAATAATAATAATAATAATTTAAAAATTCAAATTATTATTATTATTATTATTATTATGTTTTTTTTATTTTTATTAATAATTATGGACAGAGTTTTAATATTCATTATAATGATATTTTTTAAAATCAGTCCGTATTATCAAAAATTAATTCTGAGATAACTAATCTGACACTAATGATATTTTTATTATTTTTAAAGATAATATTTTAATAATTATTGTAATTATCCATTGAAGAAATTTTTATCACTGTTTTTAAATAAAGGGGAATTTTTATTTTATTTATTAATTCAGTTTTAATTTCACTTTTTATCCCGAGATGGACCAAATCCTCAATGACAGCAGTAAAATGAAACGATTTGTTGACATGATTAATAAAATGAAAAAAACCATTTCACTTTTTAGTAGTAAATTTTTTTGATTTATTTATTTAGAGAAACGGAAATAAAAATAAGAGTTAATAAAAATATTAATAGAGAAAAATAATAATTTTAAAAATATAAATCCAAAAATAAAATCTTTATTAATTTATTTTTAACTTTAAAACAAAAATCTTGAGCCAAGAAAATTTTCCTCAATTCAAAGAACCCACATGTAGTTTATGTAAATCTTCTAAAGTTCTTTATCTTTTAGAACAAGCGAGCTCACAAAGAACAAAAATACTTACTAATTTTCGTATATAATTGCGATATTATTTATAACATTATAAACTACCAAATAACAGTAACAGTAATAGCATGATAACTTATAAACTTGTATGAGAACTCTATTTATATATAAAACTACAAAAAGTAGCCAAAAAACTAAGAACAACGCGTCATTCATTTTGTAGCAACACGTGACTATTGAAAATCAACAAATTTCTTTAATTTGCATATCGAATATCTAATTGCCATTTAGGAGCTCATTCGTCAGAAGTGAATCATGTTTTTTATTTACATAAAGAAATTAATAGTAATAATGATAACTAGCAACATTGTAGTCACTATGTTTTATTAAATAATGACTTTTGTTAAATTGCACTGTACTTTTTTAACTATTGACGTTTTTAAAGATATAAACTCATCTTGATGTTACACTCGTCAAGAGCTTTCATTTGAGTACCCACATATATTTTTATATATATTTCATATATACATATATATAATATATATAAATATATGAAAAATTGATGTGGGTACTCAAATGGAAGGTCTTGATGAGTGCAACATCGGGATGAGCTTATATCTTTAAAAATATCAATAGTTCACAAGATACAAGGTCATTTCTTAATTATATAATACATATTTTAAAGATATAAGCTTATATTGTTGTTACACTCATCAAGAGCTTTCATTTGAGTACCCACATGCATTTTTGATATATTTTTCATATATACATATATGTAATATATATAAATATATGGGATATATGAAAAAATGATGTGGGTATTTAAATGAAAGGTCTTGATGAGTGTAACATCAGGAAGAGCTTATATCTTTGAAAATGTCAATAGTTCACAAGATACAAGGTCATTTCTTAATTATGTATCTAGAGATAGAGCATTTTCAAATGCAGCCTAAATACTTATCATCATAAATTGATTATTGGTGAGAATAATAAAAAATTTTGAAAAGGCACAACTCAAGGTCAAGACCTTTCTAATGGTACCAAATTTAACCATAAAAACCCATTTTATCATATAAATACACTGACCGCGAAATTTTTCTTATTCTCTTAATAATATATAGATAAAAAGCCAAATTACTGTTGATGTTTCCTTAATAACCTAAAATTAGCTAAAAAATAACCTATTGTACACAAGAAATAATAGCATACATAAATTTTGTCGTCGTACAAAATTTTCCGCTAATGCTGAGTACATGAGAGCTGAATAAACCGTCAATGTCTCAAAATAGTGATAGCATTTATATATATTTATGAATGTTAAATATTTGTTCAGTATTCGTCTGCTTGTCTGAGGAGTCGAATCGTCTGACTCTGACTTAGCGCTTTCATGTAAGCTTAGCTTAATATAATTAACAGTTATGTGTGTCATAGGTAATTTTCAACGAAATTCTACGAATAGTTCTAATTGTTAATATTATTATTATTAATAATCATATCGATAAATTATCATTATTATCGTTAATTAGTGATATTAATATTGGCTGTTGCAGAAAATCAAGAGTCTTCAACGCGACCTCAAGGTATTGTTAAATCACCGCGAAAATTCGTAGGTGTTGTTATCGCTACTTCTGGATTACCAGCACGTGGAAAAACACAGGTTGCGTCAAGTCTTGCCCGACGACTCAATTGGAATGGCGAGTCTGCTAAAGGTAATTTTTATTTATATAATCTTCATATATGCATACATTCATGCATACATAGATCTATGCATTTAGTAAAAACAAGTGTCGCAATTAACGACACAAATAAAGTGAGTTATGTTATTTAATTGCTTCTCAGTGTGATATATGATTGATAACATTTTATTATTATGATACGCATTAAATTAACTACCTTTTGATCTTGTTGCTTTAAGGGGTTCTCCCTTTAAATTTCTCGAGAACTACTTAACCGATCTTGATGAAATTTTAGACAGGTACAACTATTTAAAAAAAATAATGCCGCGAAATTTTTAATTTTTTTGTAAAAACCTCTGCCAAAAATCCAATTTTCATTTTTTTTTCTCCTTTATTCAAGACCTAGTTTGAAGTCTTAACTAAAGCACATATTTTTTTTTGTCACTTCAAATAATCCTGCTAGGAGTTATGCTGATCACGCGGACGCATCTTTTTCCTAGGGCTCACCGGAAATGACGTCACATTAGCAGAGTTTTTAATATTTTTTTTTTTTTAATTTCAGTAATCCCTTATTAAACAAGTATCTTTAAGACAATAAAAAATTTGAATAAAATATTTCATTTTTTCTATTAAAAAAATAATTGTTGAAAATAGGCAATTTTCTCCCGGAAGAAACCCATGTAACGCCTTAACAAAGTTTGAAGAATTTAAAAGATTGGCTTATAATTGTTTTTTAATAAACATAATTAATGTTGCTAAAATTCAATAGCTTTATATTAAAAGTCATAATTATATAAATGTATTGCAACACAAAAATTGATTTTCTCGATGTTAAACATATTCAACTTTTGGTTCTATACTTTTTTCTTGTTTTTTGAGGATTCCCGTAAATTTTTGGACCGGTGTTATGAAAAATACGACAAAAGAAAATAATTTTTTTTTTTTAATTGAAAAGAAAAAATAGAAATCGGAAAAACACCTTTCTGGAAATTTCATGATATCTGTAAAAAATGTCAAAGTTTAGAATGAGAAAAAGAAAAAAGAAACTAAAAATGGTATTCATCAAAAAATTTTAAAAATAACGATGAAGATAGCTTTAAAGAATTTTTTTATATTTTTTTCCAAAAAGAACATTTAATAACAAAAATTTTGAAAAAAAAACGTCCCGATAAGCCAATTTTTGAAAAAGTTATGGCAATTTAAAAATAAAAAAGCGGTTTTTTTGAAAAATTCGGAACTTTTTTTTGGTTGGGTAAAAAAATTTGAAAAAATTATGAGAGACGTTTTTGATAGGGTAGAAAAGGATGGTAAACTTTCAGCCAAATCAAAAGGGGTCAGGGTCAAAAGTGGTTGATTTGGCGTGGAATGCCCCATATTTAGGTTGTTTAATAAAAAATTTTTTACCTAATAAAATAAAACAGTAATCTGATTAGGCAAAACTCGCGAGGAATTGTAAACGTATACATTTAATTACAATAGTACTTACAGTAAGGAAATAGCAAAAATTGATGTACAAATTTAATCATGTCAATAATTATCTTTAAACTGTAAAAGCATCGACAAGTAGCAGATAAATATTGCGCAACTAAAAACTGTAATCAAGAAAAAATAAAACTAACATTATTTTATCACTTTTTAGTTAGATTTACATTTTCGACATCGTGCGCGAGAAAAAAGTACTAGATACATAAAAATGAGTTTTTTTCCCAGTTTATCGGTCTATGACCTCGACCACTTAAGATAGATTTATTACGTCACACTAAATTGGCAAAGATCAGGTTTGACATATGGAAATTGAGATACATGGTTCACTTACGTAACCGATCTTCTAAATAATGAAAACATTTTCAGTGCCAGATAGAAACTGATGAGTCACAGCAAACAATAAATAAAAAAAATAAATTTTTTTTCGTTATATATTAGTTGAATATAAAAGATAATTTCAAACAAAACAGAAAAAAAATGGATTTTGAAGACTCAATATCAGAATTAGATCCATTTGAAGATGAATCTAGCAGCTTTGAAAATAACTTGACAGCCGTTTTGAGCAAGGATCTGTTGACCGATTCTGATGTCAATTACCTCAAACGTACACAATCTGAATTGGAAGAGAGATCAGCAAATCTTGAAAGACAAATGAGTAACACTGATGATGAAGAACTTACAATTGACCAGACTTTGATGACCCGTTACAAGAACGCCAATATTTTGCTGACGCGAATTGTTGATAAATTGATAGAAGCAGGTGAATCGGCAGCGGAGAATTTTGATGTCGATAAAAAACCTCTTGACTTATACCAAGCGGAATTAAAGAAACCGCGTATCGATTTCTCTCCATCACCAGATGTGTGGTATGTAAGAACCAGAGAATCTAGACCACAAAAAAGTTCTAACAAACAAGAATCAAAAAATAGAATTCCATGGAAAGAATTTCGGAAGTGGCGCCAGAGCCAACCACGTAAACCACTAGAACCACCTACTGACTACCTATTGATAAAGAAGGTAGCTGACGAACCCGAGACATTTGATAAGCAATTTTGGAGCACCGTCAAGTTTCCCAAATTCCTGCAGTTACATTTCTATTTGCTGTGGGCCATAGACAACAAAATGGTGCCTTTGAAGCGAGCTTACAAAAATCTTATGAGAGAAATCGCGATAACTGAAGGAGAATTGAAGAAAATCTTGAAAAATGAAACGCCGTTTGAGCACATGATTTTTTACGATCCAATGAATAACACGGAAAAGTTTCAGAAGTTTAATTACCTGAAGAGTAAACTGCTAATTAGCGAAATAATGTACTGTTACGGCCTCTGTTTACGCAATCAAAAGGCCTCTTCTGTCGTTAAGCTTGAGGTAGATTTTCATCTTTTGTCGGAAAAGGAAGAGTTGCTGTTGTATGAGGACGTCTTAGTGATCAAGGACAAAGCTGATGCGCTAAACTCCCCGATTCGGGAGGAAAGGGATAACTGCGAAGAACTGCGAGAGAGGATTAAGGATCTCGAGTGGAAATCTAACAGCAAGTGGGAGAAGGTCGGGAGAGTTAGAAATAATTTGATTAATATTTTCGCGGGATATTGTGAGAAAAATTATGAGATTCTGAAGGTGAAAGTCGATTCATACAAGAACGGTGTTGAAATCAAGGAAGAACAAATGGTAAAATTTAAGACAGAGTTGAGGAAATTAAAAGCTGGCGCTAAAACAGAACTAAAAAAGTACCAATATTACATGAAATTATACAACTTGAAATTAAACGTTCAGTGATACGAAAGATTGATTTTAATTTAATCATTGAGATATTTTAGAATTATTTTTTGAATTAATATTCTGTCAATTGAAGCGTAAAAGACAAAATAGAGGGCTAGAATGATGTTGACCGTAAGACAGTCGAGAACTGAGTGAGAACTAGCGAGCCCCCACTCTTGTAATTTAGACGTAGGGGGGATAGCGCGTTTGGGTTCTGTTGTAACTATCTTATGGTAGTTTGGTAGTTGCAATTTGAGGTCAAATTAATAGATATTTTTTTTTTTGTTTTTGTAAGTGATCACCCGAAAAATAGCATAAAATATGATATTGTTTCTAATCAGAATTTAATTGAATAAATTCAATTCATAATTATGGTTAAATAATTATAATTATCTAATTATTAAAATATCAACTCACAAGTACTGGGCTGTCACAAAACAATAACAACTGTTATAGGTTATGTAAGGTCGGTACTTAAAACAGATGCTCACGGTGTTCATTTATTGTTTAAATTTGCAAATATCACTTCAATACGTTAACTCTGCTATAATTTACATGAACTTTTAGTTTATGTTTAATAACAATTTATTTTAATGCAAAAAAACGATGATTTATAATTTTATTTCAATTTCAAATTTGCCGCGCACCGAGAAGTCGCCATTTTTCCTCTGATAACTATGGAGGAGTAATGTCTCCGACAAACAACAAAGATAGAAACCAATTTATAATTTTAAAAAATTAATTAAATTAAAACTATGTGCCAATTTTTTTACAAGCCCTTAATTTTCGGAATTATTGAACAAGGACACTCATTAGAGCTCGTGTATTTTTGCATAATTTTAATTAATTATATCTCTTCAACAATGTGGTAGAAAAATCTGGTTTTTTTTTTCTATAGATGTATTTAATCATAATATTTCGAATAATATAACAAAAAAGTTTGGAAAATCTAAAAGTGCACGCCTCATAACGTAAAATTGCTTGACCTTAACGAGTCGAGTATAAAGCACAACCTCACGCGCTTCGCGCTATGAGGCGTGCAATATGGGGTCAAGTTTAAGTTATTTGGCTAACAAACTACCTTAAAAAGCATTTTAGACAAAAATACACGTTTTATGCATCAATTTATGAATGAAAATTTATAAATTATGAGTTTGTTTATTTTTAGAGCATCAATCAATATTAAAATTTTATTTTCAGTGATGCGAGTAAGCGACTACCGTCGTAAAAAACTGGAGTTGTATGGCACTCACGAATTTTTCCGGCCTGACCATGCGGCTAATTCGGCACTAAGACAATTGGCAACCCGCGACGCCATGCAGGATTGTGCCGGATGGCTTTCATCTGGAAATACCGTAGCTGTAAGAAAAACAGACGCAAATTTAAAGATTTTAAAAAGTCATGACTTATTTTCATGACTTAGAGAGAGCAGTTTTGTTTATATTTTCTCTGAACACACATTAAGATCCTGGACGGTTGCCTGGTGACTAAGGAGCAACGCCGAGAGGTGTTCGAGTACTTCACCCAGCAGTTGGGCTACCGGATCCTCTTCGTTGAATGCGTCTGCGAGGATCTTGCAGCCCTGGAGCGAAACTACCAGGAGGTGATTCGGCACAACGTCGATTTCTTGGGGATGGATCCTTCCTTAGCTGCGGAGGATCTCAAGCTCAAAGTCGCTCACTACGTCCACGCTTGGGAACCCATGGACGAGAAAAACTATCCCCGGATCACCATCGATACCGTCAGTTTGGAGATGCGCGCTCACAAAATCACCGGACATGTTGAGACCAGTGTCCTAGGGTATCTTGGGAGTGTCACTGCTAAACCTCACACTCTGTACTTTTCTCGGGTAAGTTGGTGGTCGATGTAGTTCTGATCTGGAAGTGAAAATTTAACGAAAAAAAATGTAAATTTGGATTTTTTTGCTACAGCACGGCGAAAGCGAGTACAATGTTATCGGAAAAATCGGCGGCGATGCAGTTCTTAGCGCCCGTGGAGAACGTTACGCCCAAGCTTTGGCCACAAGGATCAATTCGATGAAGATCCCCGACCTTAGAGTGCTCACCAGTCGTCTTAGACGGACAATTGCGACTGCGCGAGGGATCGAAGCGCCACAGGAACATGTTGCGGCGCTTAATGAACTAGATGCTGGTGTCTGCGAAGGGCTTTCTTATGAAGAAATGCAAGAACATTATCCTCAAGTAAGTTTTATTTTATTTTTTTTTAGTCTCTAATTAACTAAATTTATTTTTTACCTACAACCACATTGATATGTACAAAACAAAATAAATAAATAAACAAATTTTGTTTATCGCGAAATTATAATCTATTTATAACTACTTTGAAAATTTATCATAATAAATTAACTATTTTAGAAAAGCATATAAAGTATTGAATAGGCACTAATTCAGGTCAAGAACTTTCCAATGATACTAAATTTAATTTAAAAAACTTATTTTATTATAAAAATATAGTAGCTAAAATTTTCCTTATTCTTTTAATTATATAGATTAATGATTGATATAATTAAATACTGATTAATCAATGATAAACGATGAAGATCGTAATTGTAAGATGGTTTTAACGGCACCGAGTTTTGTATGGTTTGGCTGCTTTCATGCAGATTTTTGAACAGCACTCCATGGCATACATGCACTGAAAAATTTTGAGTCATTAATTATAGTTCATTTTTCATTTACAATTATACACTAAGAGAAAAAATTGTTTTTAAATTTGGGAAAAAAAAATTTTTTGATAAAAATTTTCAAATTGTCTATCTAAAAATATTTTTTTCCAAATCAAAAAAACTTTTTCCAACAAGGAAGTTACGGTGAGAAAAATTTTTATTTCTTCAGTTGAGAAATAAAATTATTAAAAATTTTCAATAAATTAATTTCTTATTACAATGCTCATTTTTTTCAAAAGAATTTTTTTTTCTCGGTGGAATAAAAAAATTTTATAGAAACTTACCGAAGCGCCGGGTCCCTTGCATTTTGGTTGGCCTCCTTCGACAATTTGGGGCATAATTATAGCAACAATTATGCAAAGAGCGATGAGAATAAATAGTACTTTTGACATTATTAGTGCTGAAACATAAATTTATAATTAATTACAGTTAGGATCAGATAATATTTATGTGCGAATATTTTCCTAAAGGAATTTTTTCCACATAAATTGATAAATTAATAATTATTTAGTCTGCAATAATTTATTGAATTAGTAGGAACGAACGTACTAATTTTCCACAATTGAAGAAATATATAGTTTAATGATAATTAAAAATGTATATAAACTTTATGCTAGTTGTGTAATAAATTTATTCGTAAATTTTATAGTCTTCATAAGTCATAAATAGTGAGTTTGTACACTGAAAAAAAACTACTTGATTCAAGATCAAAAATATTTTCTTCAAAATTTCACTCGTCAAGATATTCAGTTCTCTTTATTAAATAAGTTAAATCGCGAACCAATAAATCAAAACTCGAGAATCAGCAGAAAGTTCTCCAGAACAATTCAACTCTAACGAAGCACTTTAATTTTTTTAAACAAGATATTTCGATACACTGATATTTCGCCCAAGAATTTCTTCCTCGAGGATCAAGATACAACGTCGATTCTAGATATTACCGACTTGTTTCAAGAATCCCGTTGAAAACAAAAAATTATCCGATTTCTGATACTTTCTGTCCTATAAAAAAAGTCTTGAATACTTTTTTGGATATGTTGAAGTTAAAATTTAGTTTTTAAAATGATTTTTTTCGGTATTTTAAATGAAAAAACTACTTTTTGAACCAAAAATCCAAAATTCATAAAAGAAAACAAAATTTTTTTAGTTTTTAAGAATTTTTTTTCAGTATTAAATTTTCTGTATCGGATTCCGTAAAATAAAAAGTAGAATTAAGGGCAAGAAGTTCTTGATTAATAATTTTTTTTGCCTTGTAAATAAAATTTCTCTTGAATCAATGAATTATTTATCAGTGCAGTTTAAATTATAAAACTTAAATAAACGAAACTTTAAAGTTCACTTGAACAACTGATACCCTAACGGATTTTCCCCCGAATATTTATAGTCAACTCATCTCCGAAATTTCGTTTACAACCGAAAAAATTTCATCATTGAATCGTACGTTGTTATCGTTCTACCCGTGTAAAAAAAACTTGTCATAAAAGTGTCATAAGTCATAAGCTTATGATCCTAAACGTGACACAATTTAGGACACTTTTATGACAACTTTATGACACCAAGCCGAAATAAAATTTGGATTTTGGAAAAATATTAGAGCACTTACTAAAAAAAAAAAAAATGTTGTAAAGAGTACGTTTATGACAATTTTCGAATACTTTCATGATAATTTTATGACAACTTTAGGACAATTTTATGAGACTTTTATGACAATTTTAGGAAACTTTTATGAATATTAGGATAATTTTATGACAATTTTATGACTACTTTATGACAATTTCATGACTACTTTATGACAATTTTTGACAACTCTAGGACGCTTTTATAAAAATTTTAGGAAACTTTGATAAGTATTAGGATAATTTTATGACATTATGACAATTTTATGACTACTTTATGACAATTTTATGTCATTTTTATGGAAATTTTAGAAAACTTTGATGAATATTAGGAAAATTTTATGACTTTATGAAAATTTTATGACTACTTTATGACAATTTTATGACTACTTTATGACAATTTTATGAACACTTTATGACAATTTTATGAACACTTTATGACAATTTTTGATAACTCGGACACTATAATGAAAATTTTAGGAAACTTTGATGAATATTAGGATAATTTTATGACATTATGAAAATTTTATGACTACAATATAATTGTCATAAAGTAGTCATAAAATTGTCATAAAATTAACCTAATATTCATAAAAGTTTCCTAAAATTGTCATAAAAGTCTCATAAAATTGTCCTAAAGTTGTCATAAAATTATCATGAAAGTATCCTAAAATTTTCGTAAACGTACTCTTTGCAACATTTTTTTTTTTAGTAAGTGCTCTAATATTTTTCCAAAATCCAAATTTTATTTCGGCTTGGTGTCATAAAGTTGTCATAAAAGTGTCCTAAATTGTGTCACGTTTATTGTCGTAAAATTATCCTAATATTCATCATAGTTTCCTAAAATTTTCATAAAAATGTCATAAAATTGTCCTCAAGTCATCCTAAAGTTGTCAAAAATTGTCATAAAGTAGTCATAAAATTCATAAGTTTCCTAAAATTGTCATAAAATTGTTATAAAGTAGTCATAAAATTGTCATAAAATTATCCTAATATTCATAAAAGTATTCTAAAATTGTCATAAACGTACTCTTTACAACATTTTTTTTTTTTTAGTAAGTGCTCTAATATTTTTCCAAAATCCAAATTTTATTTCGGCTTGGTGTCATAAAGTTGTCATAAAAGTGTCCTAAATTGTGTCACGTTTAGGATCATAAGCTTATGACTCTTTTATGACAACTTTATGACAAGTTTTTTTTACACGGGTAGTATGATTATATTACCATCTGATAAATATTTACGTTATAATTTACAACTCTAGTATTGATGATAAACGTCATGATTCATACTTGAAGCCCTCGAGAGATATTTTCCTACGTAAATCCATACATTTTAACTTCACCTGTACAATCAAATTACATAAATCACTAATTACATTATTGTTAATCATTCATTATAATCACGTACACATGCGCTGCTCAGAAAGCAAAGATGATTCAACTTAATGCGTTTTAACTGATTTCTGAAAGTCAAATAGTTTTTATTCGATAGTAATTACACGACTCATAATGCAAATAATAATATTTTTTTTTTGTAATAACTGGATAGCTCAGTTACTTTTTTACAAAATTTTTTCATTAAAAACGTAATTTATTACACTGTAATTTTTTAAGAATACAATTTAAGTGAATTTATTCTTGTATTAGAAGATAATTGATATTATGTCTTTCAAAAGTAATTTATACAATGAGAAAAAAAATTTCTTTTTAAAAAAATGACCAATGTTGTAATAAAAAATTAATTTGTTTAAAATTTTAAACAATTTTATTTCTTGGCTGAAGAAATAGAAATTTTTCTTATCAAGAAATTTTATATAGTTTTCAACAAAAATAGTTCACAGAAGCTAATTTAATAAATTTTAATATAATATAAGTGTAAATATTATACTATAAAATATATTACATGTTTTTAGTGTATTTATTTGACTACATAAATTTAATAATAAACTTAAAATTTTAGAATAATGACTTTGGATTTAAGTAAGACAATTGCACATATTTACTAATTTGTAATACAAGATCCTCTAAATTAAAATAAGTGTGAAGTTAACTTAGTATCGAATTATCGCAAAAATGTGGTCGCCGGTTCCTTATTGGTTGAAAAATTAAGGCGCGCGCAATTTAAATTCCTAGTATCAATACTGAACAAGCAAGCCAATTATAAAACAAGGAAACTACTGAAAATCAAGTTCAAGTAGATGATAAAACATCTTTGTTTTGAATACTTCTAAACTACTAGTATTTAGATTTAATTATAATAATAAATTTTTTATTAAAAATTAATTGCGCATTATGAGTCATGCTTTCTCAGATTTACCAAAATTTTCAAACTCTTCATTTTGACACAAAGATTTGTTAATACTAATTCTACAAATTAGAATAATAAAACGAAATTGTTTACAGGAATTCGCCTGGCGGGACCAAGACAAACTACGTTACCGATACCCCTGGGGAGAAAGTTACGTTGACATAATGCAGCGAGTTGAGCCTGTGATAGCGGAACTGCAGCAGTCGAGCAATATCTTAGTGATATCTCACCAGGCAGTTCTTCGCTGCCTGATCGGGTACTTCATGGATAAAAAGCCGGAGGAATTGCCCTACATGGAGGTTCCTCTGCACACGATAATCCGGGTGTCCAGCTGTGGATTCAACTATCGCATCGAGTTCATCAAGCTGCCGATAGAGTGCGTTAACACAACGAGAAACAAACCGGTAAATTGCAGCGCTAACCGCACTGACAACGACGCGCTGAGAACTGTTCCGGCGCACTACGACATCCCTGACCCCTGGCGGAACCCTGGAAACGGTCCTTCTCTTGTTCAACAACACTGAAAACAAATTAACGAGAAGGAGTCATCTTCTTTGGCTTCTTCTTCTTCTTCTGCTCCCTCTTCTTTGACTTTTATTGACAAAAAATGAAACCATAACAAATATTATTACTTTTAATTACGATAATCACAGCAATTATATCTGACATTCGATTTGCTGTGAAATAAATAAATTGTTGAAGAAATATTTTTAATAATTCACTAATTTAAATTAATACTATAGATTATTTCGAGAAATATTTTTTTCTTCTTCCTTTGCGAATAAATAAAATTGTGTGATTGTCTTTTATAAAAATATTTAAACACGCTGGAAAAAAATGTTTATAAACATTTTATTTTATTATTATTTCTGATTGAGTTTGACGAATATTCAATTTACTTTAAACAAATAAATTGACAAAGAGATTTTCAAAATTGCGCGTAAAATTTTGGATTTATGTTTACAACAATTTATTTCTTTATCAGAAAAAATATTGTCGGGTGTCTGTTATCTTCTGTATGATTATTAATCAATTATTTATTATTTTAAAATTGAAAATAGTACTTAGAAGTTTGAATATTAGGCGCGAACTGCTGCAATTGTGACAAGAAATTTCCTTCTCTCAAAATCTTTTTATTTTTCCGCGATTTAATTATTAAAATCAACAGGGTTGTACTTAGTAGCGTGCTCTATGATGGAGTGAAAAAAATCTTTGAAAAACTCTGAAGCGATGAAAAAATAACTTTGTTTCTCTGAAAACCGTAAAAATGGCGGCTCAGAGGCCTAAATTTCAACACTACCGAGCTATAATTGAAACGCGAGTTTCATAAACCATCTTTAATTAATAAAACTCTGATTTGTTTCATCAATAATCGTTATTTGACTTGACAAACGCAGAATTTTAATTATTTTAACGTTTTTTTGAGTTATAAACCGTGATACCACATATTTAGTGTGGTTATAACTTCACCGGCGTTGAGAATTATAAAATAGTATCTCGCTTGACTTGTAGATGTCAGTTTCGCCGAGCAACTCGCTAGTGCCGTCACACGTGTTACTATTCCGGCAGATTTAAGTGTTAGAGTAAAGACCCTGAGCTGACTGCGTGGTAAAAAATATATTTTTAACAAATTATCGTGAAATTTGTATTCTTTTACACTAAATTAAACATTATTCTTAATCAATGTGTCAAGGTATTTGTAATAACATCACATTTGATCCATAAAAAGTGATAAAAATCATTGATGGCAGTAAAAAATATTAGAAAAATTACTTTGCGATACACTTGCAGCACTGATAATTTTTTTTTCATCGTGCCAATTATATATATTTAATCCTATTGATTTTTATAATCACACAACGCAATTTAAAAATTTCGAAACTTGCTTTTAAAATCATTGCTTACAATTTGGGATATCGAATGAAATATTTAAATTTATCACCCAAATTTTATGAATATTGGATTCAGTATATTGACAACAAGTAATTAATAATAAATAACAATATAATATAATAACAATTAGTGATATATTTTTTTAGAAGACATAGGTCGTTTACAATATTACTACCGATATTTTTAGAAACATGCAAATCTAAAATAACAAAATTCAAAAATTACTTTTAAGGCTATATAAACATTTTATAATTAGATTTTTTGGTTTTGTTTGTTGATCATTGACTATTATTATTATTATTAAAGTGTTCGTTAGTTCTAGATATTGATGTAATTATTGATAAGAAATTATATATATGTAGTGACTATTTAAAGATAAATAAAACAATGTATGATAGATAAATCTTTTTATAATAAAATAAATTCAGTGAATAAATATTTTCTACGTAAAAAAGTTTATTATTTCCTCAGTTAATTTTATTAAAATTTTTTTCAACATTATTTATGCTTAGAATATATATTTTTCTTTAATTCCGCATTTTTTACTTGAAAAACCCCATTTTCAAGTATAGTTTTCGAGAAAGTACTATGAGCGCCACCTTCTGGATTTTTAAAATGTTAAATTAATTTTGAAAATAGAGTTTTTTTTAACGTCATTGTTAAGTTCATAATTTTAAATGTTAACAATTTTTTTTTCTTAACCCAAGTCTTAGTATTGAAAAATATCTGTTATTAAGTAATTAATTATTATTTAATGTAATTTTAATGACTTAAATTACATTTTAGATCATATAAAATTAAGATATAAAGTTAACAGTTAAATTTTGTATGTTTAAAATTGACATAATTTAAAAAACCCCCTTTTTTAACTTCTAAAACGCCATTTTCAGGTATAGTTCTTGAGAAAGTACTACTAACGCCATTTATCGGGACTTTTAAGAAATTTAATCATTTTAAAAATTTTCTTTATCAATTTTGACAATATATATACATCATTCATAAATAAAATCAAAAATAATTTGGTCGGACAATTTTGTACAGATTTAAGACGTCCTTACAGAGAATCACCCATATAATTCCCTAATATTCAGACGCGCGTTTGTGCGCGCACGTTAAATCTATAATAATAGTAAAAATTACAATGTTAAGATCAAAATTTCAATTGTAGTAAAGTATTTTTTTTTTTTGTAACTTCAATTTACTTATTAAAAAAAATTTATTTTATTCTTAAAAATTAAATCTTACATATAAAGGACTAGAAAAAAAATATTTTTCATGTGACTAGAAATTAAATCTAAAATAACGACTAGATCGTTTACAAATTCAGTTGATTGAAATAAATTCATGATATAATATATCAAAAATAAGAATGACTAAAACCTCATTAACCTCATAGTATAGTCGCGTTGTTTTACCGCAAGATGGAGGTCCAGTCCCGTGAGCATGCGATTACGCAACTCGTACTCATTTGTCAGCGTTTCGCATCTCCTGCTGCCATTTTGCCGGCTGAAGTCATTGATAATAACATTGTTTTCGGTAATGCTGTACTTGGGGGTGTGTTTGACAATATTTTGCATAAAATCGACGGCCACTCTTCTGCAAGTATCGTAACCAGATAATTGTATACCCTTCGCTCTCACGCGGTTATATTCAGCTGGAAGAGGCTTTGTTGCGCGTTCTATTATTGATGCTACAGATTTTGAAGATCCAGGTAGATCTTTGAATACTTTGGTTAACACTTCACGCATAACGTTTTCATCAGTATCATCGTTACCTAAAAAATAAAATTTATCAGATATTTAATGATTTTGAAAGAACACGAAAATAAGGTCGTGGGTTCGAATCCTGCACAGAGCATATTTTAATTTTTTATAAAAATTTTGAAGGTATATTTATTTTATTGATTGATTAATTAATTAAGAAATAAAATAAAAATTTATCCGAACAAAAACAGTTTCACTGTAAAAAATCGCGCCAAGTCCACGTTCATAAGACTATTAAGAAAAAAAAATTTTGTTTTCTTTACAAAAAGATATAAAATAAAAAAATTAAAAAATCCAAGTAACCGATATGATTGTATATGATTTTCCGAAATTAGAAAAAATTTTCTTGTAAATTTAAAAATTAAAAAAAAAATTTTGGAACGTATTTAGTGTGCGTGGTTGCAAAATATTTTACTTTTAATGAAATTCGGGAATTCTATTTACTAGGACTTTATAAAAATTAAAATACACAATGACGCACACCAAGTACATTCCAAAATTTTTTTTTTAATTTTTAAATTTACAACAAAATTTTTCTAATTTCGGAAAATCATATACAATCATATCGGTTACTTAGATTTTTTAATTTTTTTAACTTCCCGCTAAAAATCTCAGATTTTCAAAAATCGGGAAGTTATTGGTTTTACCCCGTTTTGCAAAAATCGAGTTTTCATCAGATCTCGACGTTTTATTCCTTTGAAGCTACAGTTTATGTAAAAATAATTCCAGCGCACCCTGGCGGGTGTGGATGCAAGCTGTGAAATGTATTTTTCTAACTGTAGTTTCCCATTTATCGGAGGATTACCATGCACTATCGAATTATGTAGTCTGTGGCAGATCACTTTGTCCATCGAAAAAAAGTCAGGATCGAAATTTTTGCGTTGCTATAGTTTGTGCTGATTAAATTTAATAATTTCAAGTAGATTAATTGTTATAAGTGAATATAATTAATTAATAACAGTAAAATAAAGTATGAATTACTGTTATAATATAAAATTTAGGAAAAAAAATTACCGTAGAATTAAATAAAATTTTGCAACCTCGAAATACCGTTCTGCTTACAGTAAACACACTCGGTAGTCTGGCGCTCCGTTTACAACGGATTTGAACGGAACTTGGCGCCAGATTCTACCGAATCTGTGGATTTTCCGGAATATTTATTCAAATTGTGTTTAAAAAAAAATAAAAATTAGAATTTATGGCAAATATTAAGTTAAGGCTAATCGATTATTAACTTAAGATTTTAAATTAAAAAATCATTTAAAAATTGAAGTTAATCGACAAGGTAAAAAGCACCAATTTTTTATATTATTATCTATTAAAAATCTATTTTTATGCAATCTTTATAATAAAAAAAATTTTTTTTAATTCAATAATTAAAAATCTAAAATATTTTTTTAATAAAATAAAAAAAAGGTAGGTATACCTAATCATAATTCCTAAATTATTTTACATAGACAATGTCTTCTTTGTGCCCGCGAGTGAATGATATAATCAATTGAAATTAATTATTAAATCTTTAAAATTACTACTGAAGAAAAAAATTAAACTATGTTATAAAAATTAAACTTACCTAATTCACTGGTATTGTCATCAAAATCTTCATTATTTACACTCCGCTGCATTTCAATAATTCTATTCAACGCCAATTGTAAATATTCTCGTGCATTTGGTTCTTGTGCTTCTGAACTTTGATTATCAATTTTAATTTTTTTTGTTTTTTCTTCTTCCACAAGACATGGGGCCTGAAAATAGAAAAAAGTTTAAAGTAAATAACTATAATTAAACTTTGGCCAAAAATTAATTTTTAAGTTTAAAAAATGATATAATTTCAGTTTTAACTTTAATTAAAACAGCAAAAAAAAATGCATTAATTCTATAAAAAAGAATATATTTAATATAATTTTCTACTTACGGAACATGATCTCTTCATGATAAATGATTTATTATTACTAAATACTTAATTGATAAATTGATAGATTAATGAATAATTAAAAAGTGAACAAATCAAATGTACTGATTGAAAATATCGAAAAAAATTTTAGTAACTGCGGAGCTAACTCCGATATGCCGAAGAATAAACCGTTACAATAATACTGTGTAGAGTAAACGAGTACGGGGGTGACATATTTGGCGCGTGCCTTAAACCCCCACTCTGTGAGTTTACAACCCCCTCGACAGCTGCATATTTCGTTGACCCTTATAACTTTTGCGTGTGTATGTAAGAGAAAGTATTAAAGTGGGTATAACGGTCGAAACTTTTTGATGAATTATGTATGAGCGAAAGTGGGGTAAGTATTGGGTGGAGAAAAATATTGATTAACTTTTTTAAAATTTCACGACTTTTTATTGTATTGAATTTGAAAAAATTAATTAATAATTAACAAAATTTTATTTTACAAAAACTATAAAAAACTTAATGACAATAGAAGTATTTTTTTTGTATTTTCCAATAAGTAACTTTTAGTACTTTAGTAACATTACATGGAGAGAAAAATATGGAAATCATTCCTATAATTTTAATGAAATATTTTCCTATACCATTTTAGGAGCGATTACTTAAATTATGGGAATTATACCCATAATTTTTGGGAAACGTTACTATAATTATGGGAATGGTTCCTATAATTATAGGAACGATACCTATAATTAAAACTGTAATATCGGCATGATTCCCATAATATATAGGAATGGTTCCCATAATATATAGGAATAGTTTCCATAATATTAAAGGAATAGTTTCCATAATATTATAGGAACCATTCCTATAATATTATAGGAACCATTCC